TGCAGAGAAGGAAAATCAAGATGATTGAAGGTCTGGAAACCAAGCCGTATAAGGAAAGGTTGACGGAACTGGTATGTTTAACCTGGAAAAGAGGAGACTGAAAGGAGATATGATGTTGTTGTTTAGTCGTTTAGTCGTGTCCGACTCTTCGTGACCCCATGGAGCAGAGCACGCCAGGCACTCCTATCTTCCACTGCCTCCCGCAGTTTGGTCAGACTCATGTTTGTAGCTTCGAGAACGCTGTCCAACCATCTTGTCCTCTGTCGTCCCCTTCTTCTTGTGCCCTCCATCTTTCCCAACATCAGGGTCTTTTCCAGGGAGTCTTCTCTTCTCATGAGGTGGCCAAAGTATTGGAGCCTCAGCTTCACGATCTGTCCTTCCAGTGAGCACTCAGGGCTGATTTCTGTAAGAATGGATAGGTTTGATCTTCTTGCAGTCCATGGGACTCTCAAGAGTCTCCTCCAGCACCATAATTCAAAAGCATCAATTCTTCGGCGATCAGCCTTCTTTATGGTCCAGCTCTCACTTCCATACATCACTACTGGGAAAACCATGGTTTTAACTATACGGACCTTTGTTGGTAAGGTGATGTCTCTGCTTTTTAAGATACTGTCTAGGTTTGCCATCGCCTTTGTCCCAAGGAGCAGGCATCTTTTAATTTCGTGACTGCTGTCACCATCTGTAGTGATCATGGAGCCCAAGAAAGTAAAATCTCTCACTGCCTCCATTTCTTCCCCTTCTATTTGCCAGGAGGTGATGGGCCCAGTGGCCATGATCTTCGTTTTTTGATGTTGAGCTTCAGACCATATTTTGCGCTCTCCTCTTTCACCCTCATTAAGAGGTTCTTTAATTCCTCCTCACTTTCTGCCATCAAGGTTGTGTCATCTGCATATCTGAGGTTGTTGATATTTCTTCCGGCAATCTTAATTCCGGCTTGGGATTCATCCAGCCCAGCCTTTCGCATGATGAATTCTGCATATAAGTTAAATAAGCAGGGAGACAATATACAGCCTTGCCGTACTCCTTTTCCAATTTTGAACCAGTCAGTTGTTCCATATCCAGTTCTAACTGTAGCTTCTTGTCCCACATAGAGATTTCTCAGGAGACAGATGAGGTGATCAGGCACTCCCATTTCTTTAAGAACTTGCCATAGTTTGCTGTGGTCGACACAGTCAAAGGCTTTTGCATAGTCAATGAAGCAGAAGTAGATGTCTTTCTGGAACTCTCTAGCTTTCTCCATAATCCAGCGCATGTTTGCAATTTGGTCTCTGGTTCCTCTGCCTCTTCGAAATCCAGCTTGCACTTCTGGGAGTTCTCGGTCCACATACTGCTTAAGCCTGCCTTGTAGAATTTTATGATAGCCATCTTCAAATATTTCAAGAGCTGTCACATGGAAGAGGGAACAAGCTTGTTTTCTCCTGCTTCAGAGCTTTTAAAGCAGAGATGGAACGTGTCCAGAGGAGGGCAACCAAAATGGTCAAAGGCCTGGAAACGATGCCTTATGAGGAACGGCTAAGGGAGCTGGGCATGTTTAGCCTGGAGAAGAGGAGGTTAAGGGGTGATATGATAGCCATGTTCAAATATATAAAAGGATGTCACATAGAGGAGGGAGAAAGGTTGTTTTCTGCTGCTCCAGAGAAGCGGACACGGAGCAATGGATCCAAACTACAAGAAAGAAGATTCCACCTAAACATTAGGAAGAACTTCCTGACAGTAAGAGCTGTTCGACAGTGGAATTTGCTGCCAAGGAGTGTGGTGGAGTCTCCTTCTTTGGAGGTCTTTAAACAGAGGCTTGACAACCATATGTCAGGAGTGCTCTGGTGGTGCTTCCTGCTTGGCAGGGGGTTGGACTCGATGGCCCATGTGGTCTCTTCCAGCTCTATGATTCTATGATTCTATGATTCTAGATCAAATGACCATCTGTCGTGGATGCTTTAGCTGAGATTCCTGCATTGCAGGGGTTTGAACTAGAGAACCCTTGGGGTCCCTTCCAACTATAAAAGGTAAAGGTACAACAATGACTCAGAATGCAAGGTGAGAGTGGGGCACCAAAGGTTGGTGTCACACAGGGCACTGCTGAAGTTTGAAAGCCCAAACTCCACCACTGCTCACTGGGAACATAAGAATATGGGTAGAGCCTGCTGGATCAGGCCAATGGCCCCTCTAGTCCAGCATCCTGTTCTTACAGTGGCCAACCAGATGCCTGTGGCAAGCCTGCAAGGAAAACCCAACCACAGGAACAGTCTCCCCTCCTGTGACTTCCAGCAACTGGTATTCAGAAGCCTACTTCCTCTGACAGCGAAAGTAGAACATAGCCATTGTAGCTATTAATACACAGCATTCCTCACATACGGCCTATAGAAATATTTATTAATGCTTTTCCCCCAAGGGGTCATCACTCTGTGGTTCGAGCTTCAGTTTTATAGTCCGCAAAAGGTGAGCAGAGGAACTGCTGGGCACTTTTAAAAAGAGAGAGATGCAAACATGTATTCCGTACAGCAATAAATGCAGTCAAGGTATTTAACCACAGAGCCACCACACCTTAGACTTTACAGGGGGGGAAACACATTTAGCTAAACTTCCAAGTATGACACATTAAGAGAAGCTGAGATGGTGTCTCTGCTCTCTAATCTTTAATAATGTCTTTCTTCCCTATGGCTGGCAGAGCTATTAGGCGAATTCCAGCCTTAACTTGAATTCTGTGTCAAGAGCTGCATTTAGAGAATAATTTGTGGGTGGGTGAGCACATTATATTTTCATTCAAAAGCCTTCTGAGGACTTGCAGATTACACAGTGTTTGGGGTAGTAAGCACCCATTTGTTTTGGGTGGGACAGGACGACAGAAGCAATATCTTTCCAGGACCAGCTAATGATAAAACCTATGAACAGCAATTTGTAAGTAATGGCAAAATTCATTAGCAGTGTGGGAGGTAAACATCAATAAAAACATCTTTAAAAATGCAGTATAAACACCAACAACTGTGAAACACTGGCCTGCGAGCGCTCCAATTGGAGAACAGCCTTTACCAAAGGTGCCATGGGCTTTGAAGACGCTCGAACTCAGGACGAAAGGGAGAAATATGCCAAGAGGAAGGCACACTTGGCAAACCCTCACCATGATCAACTCCAGCCTGGAAACCTATCTCCCCACTGTGGAAGGACGTGTGGATCCAGAATTAGCCTCCACAGTCACTTACGGACTCACTGTTAAAACCGTGTTGATGGAAGCCAATCTTACTCGGCTACGAGTGATTGCCAAAGAAGAACAAGAAACATCAATACCCTACTAATGATTTCTCCTGTAGCCCAGAAAAGCAGCTTCCACTCAAAACATTTTAGACCTTATATGCATTACAAACTTATATAGAAGCTTTGTAGCACTCTCTCTAGAATGACTTTCCCAATTCCCAAATAATCTTGGGGACTGCAGATAAGGTTCATTCGCTCTTACAGGACTGCGGTTTCCAGAGATCTCTGGGCTAAAGGGGTGCCTGGTAAACTGGTGTGAAGCCTGCAGTACAGATATAGCATTTGAACTGCAGTGAATCCCACAATCTAGGAATTACTGGGATGAATACAGACAAAGCTTCGGCCTCCACAACAGAGTGGGATTTCCGTTTTCCTAGTGCAGTTTAGGGTGGCCCAGGGTATCTAACTAATGCATCTCATCAGGGCAAGATTTATCTGTACACAGAGAAACTTTCCTCCCTCAGAACCAAGTGTCTCCTAGATCTGTTCTAGGGATTCCCCCAACCCTTGGGAATGGATTTTGGGAGATTGCAAGGTGTGCACATGCAGGAGCATAAATCCCTGCAACGACAGAATATGTTAGCACCTATGTGTTGTAGTGCCTAGAGCAGGAGTGTCCAAACTTTTTTCAAAGAGGGCCAGATTTGTTGAAGTGAACATGCATGAGGGCTGACCAAAGGGCCGACCAAAGTTGTTGAGCTTTTTTTAGGATTGAAGTTGTTGAGCTCTTTTTAAGAATGAAGTTGTTGAGCTTTTTTCAGGATTTTACCCCAGAAATTAAACTGCCAAATTAGGCCCCAGAAACGGACTTTGGACATGCCTGGCCTAAAGACTGAGACCTGGGAGACCAGGATCCTAGTTCCCACTCAGCCATGAAGTTCCATGTGTGACCTTGGTCCAGCCACTGTCTCTCAGCCTATCCTACCTCACAGGGTTGTTGTGAGATTAGAACAGAGAGGACCATGTATACCACCTTGAGTTCCTTGGAGGAAAGGTGGGATATAAATGTAATAAATATTAAATAAATAAAATTAGATACTGCTCCGTAGGTCATATTGTCCGTGGTGGGCTGTCAGAGGACAGTGAAGAGCCACACACATATTTCTGAGGTTCATGGTGAGCGTGAGGACTAGTAACTTGGCCATTTTATAAAAGAAACCTCAGATCCGAAAGCAATGCCATATTCTTTCTGCACAGAGCTGCCAATATTTAAGAACGCTAAATGCCACATTTCATTTCCATTGTCCAGAAGCGGAGAATGCGAGCATGTATGTCACTTCGAAAGCCATTGATCTGTAGACTAAATGATCTCTATTGCATAGTACACGTTGGCTGGTGAGCAAGAGGATTAAAATGCTACATGCTGGGAGGAATTAGGAAGTGCAAGTTTTCATAACTCCTATAATTTGTAAAGACCAAAGGGGGTGGGGGGGGACCCTGGTGGAATTAATCTATTTCTTATGCTCATTCCAGCTGTGTTTAATTTACCCTTGGCTATTCCTCTCCTCTGATCAAGGAATGCTGTGCCTTACATTGATTCCCCCCACCCCGTAATACTCACACTGAGCTTAGGGTTGTTTTTTTAAAAAAATTAATTGTTTAAATATGCAATGTTCCAGAGCTGGAGTAACTACGACAGCATAACAGCTATATTCTCCCATCCTCTTTGTTGTCTTAGGGGCCCAGTTGGCACATATTATAACCTCTCTAGGGGAAAAATGGATCTTATTTTGTTTCATTCTGGGGAAGGGGCATAGCTCAGTGGTAGAACATCTGTTTTGCATGCAGAAGGTTCCAGGTTCAATCACTGGCATCTGTAGGTAGGGCTGGAAGAGACTCCCGGCCTAAAACCCTGGAGAGCGGTTGTGAGTCTGTGTCAACAATGCCGAGTTTGATGAGCCAGCGAATTGACTCAGTAGAAGGCAGCTTCCTATGATCTGATTTGTGTTCGAAGGATGACTGGTGGGCAGTTGATGTTTTGAGAATCAGCTGATGACCCATGCTTGGTGGCTTTTGATGACCAGGAGATGTATCATTTTATTCATATACAGTGGTACCTCAGGTTACATACGCTTCAGGTTACATATGCTTCAGGTTACAGACTCCGCTAACCCAGAAATATTACCTCAGGTTAAGAACTTTGCTTCAGGATGAGAAGCAGCGGTGTGGCGGCAGCGGGAGGCCCCATTAGCTAAAGTGGTCTTCAGGTTAAGAACAGTTTCAGGTTAAGAACGGACCTCCGGAATGAATTACTTAACCTGAGGTACCACTGTACCGCCTTTCCATTGTTTAAACCAGGCACCCCTAAACTCGGCCCTCCAGATGTTTTGGGACTACAGTTCCCAAATGGGACCACTGGTCCCATTAGCTAGGGATGATGGGAGTTGTAGTCCCAAAACATCTGGAGGAGGGCCGAATTTGGGGATGCCTGGTTTAAACCATGCTCAAGGCGGCTTGCAACATGAAAAGATTTACATAATTGCAAACGTAATAAAACTAGTCATAAATAAAACACATCAAAAAGTACACATTCTAACCTGAACCATTTCTACATGGAGGAGTGCCACAGGAAAGAGGCAAAGACTTATGAGTCTGCTGCCTCAGAAGGGAGGAATAAAGCCAAAAGGACTTACCTCAGAGGAGAGGTGGTTTTGGTTCAAGGTTAGGTTCAATATCCTGATGGTAAGAGTAATTTGGCGATGGCTTTGGAAGGGATACTTAGGTGTTCAAACGCTCCATCAAAGAAGAGAGGCAGGATATAAAAATATTTTAAGGATCCAGGGCAGGTCAGCAAACTTTTTCAGCAGGGGGCCGGTCCACTGTCTCTCAGACCTTGTGGGGGGCTGGACTATATTTTGAAAAAAAAAAATGAACAAATTCCTATGCCCCACAAATAACCCAGAGATGCATTTTAAATAAAAGCACACATTCTACTCATGTAAAAACACGCTGATTCCCGGACCATACGCACGCCGGATTTAGAAGGCGATTGGGCCGGATCCAGCCCCCGGGTCTTAGTTTGCCTACCTATGATCCAGGGGGTTGAAGCGGCTCAGCATACAGCCTACTTCCTCCCTCCCACAAACTCATCACAATACTTTAGAAAAACCCAAACCATCTCAATAACAAAAGTGATAAAAGTCACAGTAGCTTCAGTTTAAAGAAAGAGCACCCTTAGGTGTGAGAGTGAGGAGGGGCATTGAAATTTTAACCATTAATGTCTGGAGAGCAGACTGAGTGGCACATAGCTCACCTGGTCACAGTCTTCTCCACCCAGGTGAGCCCATCTCATGGAGAATAAGGCCATCACTAGCCACTATCTATGATGGCTATGTTCTACCACCACTGTCAGAGGGAGTGTGACTCTGAATGCCAGCTGTTGGCATTCACAGGTATGTGTCTCCCATAGGCATCTGGTTGGCCACCTTGAGAACATGATGGGCTGATCTTAGTGTCTTTGTTGTTGTTTAGTTGTTTAGTGGTGTCCGACTCTTCGTGACCCCATGGACCAGAGCACGCCAGGCCCTCCTGTCTTCCACTGCCTCCCGCAGTTTGGTCAGACTCATGCTGGTAGCTTCGAGAACACTGTCCAACCATCTCGTCCTCTGTCGTCCCCTTCTCCTTGTGCCCTCCATCTTTCCCAACATCAGGGTCTTCTCCATGGAGTCTTCTCTTCTCATGAGGTGGCCAAAGTATTGGAGCCTCAGCTTCAGGATCTGTCCTTCCAGTGAGCACTCAGGGCTGATTTCCTTCAGAATGGATAGGTTTGATCTTCTTGCAGTCCATGGGACTCTCAAGAGTCTCCTCCAGCACCATAATTCAAAAGCATCAATTCTTCGGCGATCAGCCTTCTTTATGGTCCAGTTCTCACTTCCATACATCACTACTGGGAAAACCATAGCTGTAACTATACGGACCTTTGTTAGCAAGGTGAGGGTCTTATATTTCCGTAATTATGACTAAATTTGCATCTAAAGCAGCATGTGCACATTTCATGCAAATCTGTCCCTCTTCTGACCTCCTTCTGGTGCACGGAAATTATTAGTTGCTTGCAGTGCTATTTTTTTCTAGAAAAAGAGGTGCTGGAGCTCACTGCGAACTTCTCCCCCTCTTCTCTCTTAGAATGGCAACAGCGCCTACCTAAGAGGTACTGCAGCTGAGCTCCAGTGAGCTCCAGCTGAAAAAAAGACCTGGTTGCTTGGTTGCCCACAATTTTTTTTATTTATTAGTCATTTGTGCCCTTCAAAGGAGTGGGGGGCGGGATCTCTTTTGTCATGGCAGCTTGTCTCTGGAGTACACTATCACTTGAGAGAGATGTGTTATTATTTATTGCCTTCTTTTGTGTGTCTGGACCCTTGAAGTATCCAATGCAATTGTGTGCTGCCATTGTTCTGTTATTTTATTGCAACATCGTTCCTTGTTTTGCTGCGATGTTTATGATCTGTTGCTTTCATTGTGGGCTTTACCAAGAGTAAGGCTTGAAGAGCAGCATTTAAACATCCTAAGTAAAGAAATAAAAGACACGGCGCTTTGAGAGAGAGAATGGACAAGCTTTTGCGAAGCCTTTGCCTCGTCCACCTGGAAGCGATTTCATCCTTGCAGTTGGTGACCATCCAAGAAGGTCCTACTGACAAAACCACACTAGCGCCCAGTGTGAAGTGTTGGAAGCCTTCAGCAGAGGCAGCCTCTCATTATCAGATTTTAAGTTGCTTTGTGCAATATCCTTTTGCTTGCTTTAAAAAAACGACAACAACAGCCCTGTCCCATCATTTCCCCTTCCAAATTGGTGCTTTCGCTTCGAATTGACAAACAAGAAGAAACCATGGCTGTGTTGCTTGATTCTCCTCCCAGATGCCCATCAACACCACGGTGCTCATGGTAAGCCAAGCACAGGATTCCAGTCTCCCTTGGCCACAGGTATGTTTCACCACCGTCTGGGCGGCTGCTTCTATTTATTCCACGGCGTTCTAAAAATTGTGCCTTCCAGGTTGGAAGCCAAAACCACTGCCAGAGTCCTTTCTTTATTAAAAGTAACAACTCGAAGGTATTGAAAAATCACAAGCCTTTTGGAAACATACTGAATCCTTTATGGGAGGGGAAATAATCGAATAGACAAGCTGTTGTTAATTTAGGGCCTTAATTTTCAGACACACTTCTTGAGTCAAGAGTACTTCCTGCTCTAGAATTCCTGCAGGGATACAGGTGGTCCCCGTTCGCCATCTCTGTCTACTGTACATTAAAAAAAACCCCGTTTCTGACTACACTTAAAACAGTTCTGAAATCTCAAGTTTATGTCTAGACTATTTTAATCAGCTAAATGTCATAATAAGCCATACGCGACTCTTGATGGCTTACATATACCAGCCCTGCTCGTAAAGCATAAGAGGTGTTTTTAAAAAGGAGCCTGTGTTTGTTTTGCCATGGAAATGGTGCTTTTAGCCTATCGTATCGAATGCCCTGGCAGGATTGGAAAGGTTCTTACGTAACGCCTGGATCAAAGCCCTGCTTGGGAGGCTGGAGATGAATTGGCCTGCCCTGCTCTTTCAGCATTTGGGCAAATTCCACACAATTTATGCCACTATCCATGTATAAGAGGGATGGGGAACCTCTGGAGGGATCTGTGCGTGTGTGTGAACACACCCCTACAGTCCTGTCTATCCGGCCCTCAAGATGCTCACCAGACAGTGCTCTCTCCCAAGCCAAATGTCTTCTCTCCAAGCCACACCCCTTACTTTCCTGCTTGATGCCCTCCTTCATTGAGAATGGATCATTAAACAGGAATAACGCTTCATCTCACCCTGTCCACCTGTCATCTGTAGAATGAACGATTATTGAGTTAGTGTGTAGGGTGGTGAATGTAATTATGTTTAGCCTGCATTTTAGGGTCTTTTTATGTCAGCATTGTTTTATAGGCTGCAATTATTTATAATAGTTTTAAAGATGATTTGTTAATTCTGTTGCATAACACTATAATGATTATGTTCTGTTATGCTGCTGCTGCTGCTGCTGCTGCTGCTTATTGTTTGTAAGCTGCTTTGGGAGTCATTGAATGGAAAAGCTGTAGAAACTAGAATCTATCTTTTGGTTCCTCTCTCCTTTTCTGATTTGCTTATCTGCATCTCATCTTCTGATGTCTGGGATGTGCCCAGTCTTCTTCGTTGCCCTGAATATATTTTCCCCTAGTTCTGGTTGTTTTGGAAAAAATAGCTCCCCTCAACACGGGCACTGTTTTAGCTACCATCATGTGGAGCTGAAGAGGGTTCAGAAAGGACAACCAGAATGATCCAGGGGATGGAGCAAGTCCATGTGAGGAAAAGTTGCAGCATTTGGGGCTACAAGAGGTGACATGATGGAAAATGCAAGAGGTGACATGATAGAACTGTAAACAATTCTGCGTGGCATGGAGAAAGTGGACAAAGAACAGTTTTTCTCCTTCTCTCAGAACTTGCACATCAAAATGAAGCTGAATGTTGGAAGATTCGGGACAGGAGAAAGAAAGTGTTGACATTTCCATTCTACCTTAAGGAGCAGACATGTGGAATTGTTGCGTGTCACATGTCTGTTTACATACCAGCACAGCTTGCTGGGAACTTCCATTGTGTATAGCTTTTGTTATTTCCTGTTCTCTCTGAGATGACGCGAGAGAGAGACAACATGTTTCTTTGTCCTGATTTATGATTAATAAATCTGTAGTTGTAGTATGCTTCCACAAGCCTATTCTATGTGTGCAGTTTGATCAGCTGATAGTGTGCCCTAGCTGTGAAGCCCGGGTCGCTGATTTACGTTGGAGCAGAGGTGATGGTCTTTGTAGCGGGACGG